ACAAAAAAAGTGTGCAAGGGATTCTTTTAGTTGTAGTTAATGACTCCGCTAAATGCAAGTGTCCTATTGKTCCAAAATGAAATGCAGAGTTGTGAATGATTGTAGATTACATATGTTTTCCACTTGTGTGACCTTGGCTGAATGCTAGGTACTGGTACATGTAATTCTTCATAAATTTTAAGAATATACTAAGTATACTTGGGACAATTAATTTATGACAGTATGATTTCATTAATTGTGAATAGTTTTAAGATATAACTAATTTAATTAACTAATTYAGTAGGGAGGGTATAGTTACATAAACATAGATTTTTTTAGGTTTTTAAATAAAGATTTGAGGCCCTGCTATACTTGTTAAAATTTTTAGCTGAAACTTGTACACAACAGCGGCAGTTGCAACACAAGTTTTATGAGGTTGTTTCATGGTGCAAGTGTATCCYGAAACTTGTTTGCGGCACAGTTTTCAAAATTGTGCTGTGTGAGCCCCCTTTAAAACTTTTCTCACAAGTGTTAGCTAAAAGTTGAAATTTAACAGGACTTTTAGAATTTGATGCTATCAATATAGTCAAGAGGGGTTTCGCATGGCCTGGCATTTTAGAGCAGGAATAACACATTGTTTTGCATTTTATTTTCAAAAAAGAAATGTAGTTATTGTTTTGCCTTATGACGTGGCTGCTGTGAAGCCCCTTGGATTTGCTTAGCTTAATGWCGGCATATAAATCATAAGGCAGTGGGAGTTTTAGAATGCCTTTCCCTCCCAAAGATCATGCATTTAAGTAATTTATTGATAAGGCTTTTAAACACGTGAAAAAATTGTACAAGAAACTGTTCAAATGATAAGGTAAAAAATACAGCGTGTTTAAGAAGAATAATTTAATTTACTTTTTCTGATTGTTTAATGGGTAAAATGGCCAGGGGGGGGACTCGGGGAAAAAAGTACCAGGGATGCTCATCCTATCTCTTAGGGGTAAAAATTCGCGATTTGGTATCTTTTAGGGTGTTCAATGCGAATTTTTGAAAATCAGGGTGTCAGAAAAGGAGAGAAGCGCGCATCCATATGGCTTATCCTAGGTGCTTTTTATATAGAATTTAATGTTATTTGTTGTGGTATTTCTTAGGGGTTAAAAATCATTCAGCTAAGCCCTTTTTTAAAGACTACTGGTATCTTTTAGGGTTTTTTTTGAAAATTTCCAATGAGCATCCCTGGCACTTTTTTCCCCAGGGTAAAATGATGATGGATTGTTATATAATTGTTTTACTAAAAGRAATGATATAGTAATCTTGCTCCTGGCAGCTGTTTGCTTTCATTTCATTACTGTATAAAACTCTTTCTTACTTAAAATCAAATARGTGTTTGTAGGTTGGGTTTAACTTCATTTGGTTAGATTCGTTTCACCGACCTTTAAATTTATYTTTATTTTAACGAGCTTTTGACCTACGCGGTCACCTTCAGGGTAACATATAAAACTCATTACAACCTTGTAAGATAAGCTTGTCATCAAAACAATCTTTTTTACTTGTATGATAGCTTATTTTTTTATATACAT